GGTTTGTTTTTGTGAAAAGTGGGGACATCCCATAGGCGTAATAGTTTTTATACTGTACAGACTGTATATTCTATTGCCCTTCACAAACCCTACCCCTAAACCTACCCCACACAGGAAACTTTGTGCTATTTCAGATTTTCAATACACTCCATTCTGTGTGATTTATAAGAGTTTTGAAAAGTGGGGACATGGGGTAATGTTCTGAAAAGTCACCTTCTCCTTGTAATACCTATGTCATACCTTTGTCATTATACAAATGTATGTCCTCATTTGTCACAAAAACGCGCGCACACACACACACACACACACACACAAACACACACACACACAGGGGTTTGACAAAATAAAGTTAACACTCATTGTTATAGGGGTTAATATAATTTGTGTAAGCTACTGTGAAAATTTATAAGAGTTTTGAAAAGTGGGGACATGGGGTAATGTTCTGAAAAGTCACCTTCTCCTTGTAATACCTATGTCATACCTTTGTCATTATACAAATGTATGTCCTCATTTGTCACAAAAACGCGCACACACACACACACACACACACACACACACATACACACACACACAAACACACACACAAACACACACACACACAGGGGTTTGACAAAATAAAGTTAACACTCATTGTTATAGGGGTTAATATAATTTGTGTAAGCTACTGTGAAAAAAAACAAAACTGCAATTATATTTTATTTATCTTCTGGTTGTCTATATTCTTTAGGTTGTATATCAGTGTAGTATAAGTTGTGTTCAGCGGTGGTTAGTACAAGCACTTTGCAAATTAAGTGACTTGTCAGACAGAAAGGACAAATCATGGAAACCCGTTTAGCATGGTACACGTCTTTAACATTAACAGCCCAATTGTTTGGTGTTTTAAGAACAAGTGTCTTTACAGTTATGACTGTGTACACAAAACATGGCAAGACTTCATCAGCGAAGAAGAATACTGGGTGAAAACCAAAAGTCAATGGAAGGGACCGTCACACACTAAGTAGTATTGTGTCCAAATAAAAGAACTACTGCTGCAAAGTGACAGCAAATCTCAATATTCACTCTGAAGACACTGTTCCCATAAAAACCGAACACAGAGAACTTCATAAAGCGAGCATCTATGAAAAGAGCTGTGACTGCTAAAACTTTAATCAAAGACACCAATGTTAAAATGCGATCATGATCATAAACCCCTGGACAGTTGGAGCACCAGGATGAACTTCAACATCTGCCCTGGCCAGCCAAATCACCTGACCTGAATATTATAAAACCACTGCAGGTGTTTCGGAGAGAAGAGTGATAAGCAGATTTCATCCTTCAACATAACTGAAGCAATTGATAGATGTTCTGATACAACATTCAACTGGAGACTATTCAAAAGTTGTATGAAACTATTCTAAGAGGTTTGGAAGGCAAATGGTGTTACAAAAACATTAAACAATATGGTCCAGCATATTGGTTATGTTCAGGGGTGTGTAAGAACAATCTAAGAAAGTGTGTGTTGGGGATAATCTGTGTATTCTCAATTAAAATGGTATTCTTAATATTCTTAATAATCTCAGTTTGGCTCATGAATATTACTTAGGTGAAGTAATGTTGCCAGTAATCACAGCTGTTTGCTGAAAAGCAGCCTTATTACCAGTAGCGCCTGTGCCTTTGTTTGTTCAGTTGACTACTTGGTCTTGAAGTCAACTAGTGGATGGTAAAACACAACCTTAAATATACCCAAAAAATGAAGGAGTGAACAAACTTCAAAAGCCACAGACATGTCATATCCCTTTGAAGTGATAAAAAAAAAAGAAAAAAAAAGACAATTAAGTCTGATTTATCAGACACATTTTCTGGTCAACTTCTCAATTGTAAACGGTAATTTAGCTTAAAAAAAAGAAAAAAGGAAAGTTTACTGCCAGTCTATCTAAACGTTCTAGGCACACGCTAGTCGCATGTAGTCAGTAATGCTGACAGGCTGGCAGAGTGGAATAGATATAAAAAGGTGTGTTTGATCCCTTACAGGTAGGCATGGGTTGAGCCAGTGAGTGCAGAAAATATGACTTGCCCTGAGGGCTTGGAAGAGGAGTGGGATGCTGGATGAACTACAGTGGGCCGCAATGGGCAAAGCATACAGAAGAACCAACAACCCGAGGGGAGGCAGAGGTCTGGAGTCCATAGAAAGCCACAGAGGTTTGTGGATAAAGCCTTGCAGCATCCCACTAATGTTAACATTCTAATCCACATGTGTGCAGCAGCAGTCATGAAAGGCTGGATGTAAGACTTTGTAAGAGTGTGTTTTTGTGTTGGTTTATATAAGTGAGTGAGAGAGTCTGCAGAGGGCATGCAGTGCGCCTGCACATACAAACACAAACACACACTCCACCACACTCAGGGAAGCTGATTTTCTCAAGACCTCATATCCACCCCAAAAATTAATCCACAGCTTAATGCCTGGTATGGCTAGTCTGGGGCGCAATGTGTTGTGATGTGATAGGGGACCAAAAAAGCACGCAGACACACACGTGCACACACACAAACAAACAAACATTTTCACTCTCGCAACACACAAAAGTGTCTCTACCACAGTGATTCCCATCCAGGAGTGAAAAGATTAGGATTTTGTTTGGTTAAAACTATAAAACAGAAGTTATGACAAACTATTTGTAATAAAATGAAATGACATAAAACAAATGTTAACAAAAATAGTCTTGTGATTCCCTCCCCTGGCAATTACTAAACAATTTTAAGGAAAGGGATCAAAATAGTATGTGTGAGTCAATTTATGTGGATGACACTTACAGCAGAACATATTTGAATATATAAAGACTCCAGAGAGAAATAAATTTCATTCTCCACTCATCTCACTTGCACTTCTTTAGAAAATAATGTCTCTTACCCATTTTTTTACCCATTTTTCTGCATCAAATGTCTCACATCAAACTAAATCTGGTTATAAAATAACTGATTCAATATTTCTCAAATTGCTTCAAATTACTCAAATTGTTTCAGTTTGAGAGGAAGCTACTTGGTGTGTGTTTTTCACCCACTGTTTTTAATTTAATTTAGAGTGAATTATTGCAATAATGGCCATATCCAGTATAATCAGAGTTAGAAGAAACACATATACACACACACACATATATATATATATATATATATATATATATATATGGTCTTTCCAACCACGAGATATTCACGCAATATCGCAACTGGAACGGTTTCACCATTTGTATCAAAGCGCTTGCAGCATTTCTCAAATCCACTATAATTTTATAAATACTACTGTTTTTGTGTCATGGAACATAGTTTTAAGAGTTTTTAGGCATGAATGTAGTTTAGACTTCAAATGTGTGGTTTGTTAATAAATATATTTTGAATATATTTGTAATTTGAAAAGTAGCTTAGACTTTTTTGGAGATGTGAGCTCTAGGGCTGAGAGCATGTTTATCTCGACCAGTACTTCTGGAATTTGCAGCTGGCTCTGATGTCTCTATAGTGGTTAAACATAAGGTATAATTAACCTGGGGTTTATCTAATGGTCAATGTTTGATCTCATTAATCTATTATTTGTTCCAGAGCAAACAATTTTAACTGAGGGCAAATGGCTAAGCTGATGGCTTAAGAGTTTTTAGGCATGAATGTAGTTTAGACTTCAAATGTGTGGTTTGTTAATAAATATATTTTGAATATATTTGTAATTTGAAAAGTAGCTTAGACTTTTTTGGAGATGTGAGCTCTAGGGCTGAGAGCATGTTTATCTTGACCAGTACTTCTGGAATTTGCAGCTGGCTCTGATGTCTCTATAATGGTTAAACATAAGGTATAATTAACCTGGGGTTTATCTAATGGTCAATGTTTGATCTCATTAATCTATTATTTGTTCCAGAGCAAACAATTTTAACTGAGGGCAAATGGCTAAGCTGATGGCCCCTTGGTGAGCATAAGAGACTTCTTTCAAAAACATTAAAAAAAAACCTACCCACCCCAAACTTTGAATGGTAGTGGGTATACAGTGAATGTATACATTCTGTTTATATTGTTGTGACAAACTGGGTATGTGGCCATCAGTGTTGGGCAGTAACACATTACTTAGTAACGCATTACTGTAATTTGATTACTTTTTTAGTAACGGAGTAATTTAACGTGTTATAATTTTCTAAATAGTAATTAGAGTATAGTTACAAGCCGAGGTCTCTATACATTACTGCCGCGTTACATTGCTGACAGAATACAGTGATTTATAATCTAGATTGTAAAAAGGATGTAGCACACGCAGTGCCAGTGGATTAGAGACCTGCTCCCGCGAGATCCGACGTAACAGAGTGGCACGGGACAAGATGAGCGAGTGCTGGTGCAGGCGGGTAGACACTCGTATGTGTGCGGGATGCGGGAGAATAAATATCTAAACATAAAATATATTAAAAAAATACATTGTTATTCATCTATTGCACAAAAGCAACATTAATTAATATAAAATATAAACGATTAAAAAGTACAAGTGTATGCAGACTGTTGCACAATGCAGTGCTGAAATTTGCATGCTCATGAATCCTCTTATTATAACACACGAATTGTAGACATTATGAAAGATTCATTATGCATATATTTATTGTGTTATAACAGAGATTTGTGAGATTGCGATGAACTGAGATGTATTTTAGAGATTATAAATGCAGTGCTGTTTGCTGGCATTCTGCCATGCCAAACCATGCATGCAGCAGCCGCTTGCTTTAGTTAAAAATAACAGTGTTCTGTGAATGTTGATGCTTTAATAACAAATATTTATTGGGAGCGTGTATGCTGGGATTTCATAAATTTCATGGATAAAAAAAGTAACGTAACTAGTAATGTAACTAATTACTAATTACTTTTGAAATAAAGTAATCAGAACAGTAATGTGATTACTTTTAAAAGGAGTAATCAGTAATCAGTAATTTGACTACATTTTCAGAGTAACTTGCCCAACACTGGTGGCCACTGGCATGTAATCGTGTAACACTTATTTCACTCACTCATATGGGTCACTGGGGTCTGGTCCTTGTAGCTCAGGTGGTATGGGAATACGTTTATAGTACATCTCCCAGTCAAAGGCTCCTCTCATGGCGTCCCCAGCCTGTGCCTCGTACCCAAAGTGGTTATGGTCAATCACATCTATCATGGGAGACACAATGGTTTTTGGATTCTGGGCGATCTGGTCTGCAGGTAGAAGGCAAGGAGAGAAAAGGTGTAGAAAAGTTAGGTAAAGCTTGAAATCTATAATTTCCGTCTCTTTACAAACACTCCATGGAGAAGAGGAGGGAAGAAAAGAAAGGGGAGGCAGAGCCTCTCAGAGTCTCCCTCCTCTCCTGGATCACTTGCTCTTCCTCGCTCTGCTTGGCTGAGTGTGGCGACCCAGTGAAATTTAAAGCCGCCACAGCTGCCCGGCGATTAGAAACAATTACAGCGCTTCAAAGTAGGTTTGCTCCATGGAGGGCTGAGCAGAAAGGACCAGCGGTCCTTAACTCCATCTCTGTCAGTCAGCAGCCGCTAAGCCGTCCCAGATCTGTCACCCACACTCTCCCTCAACACCACTGCACTACTGGACCATGGAGATCACAGGAAGCAAGCAAAAAAGAGAGAGAACAGACCTGGAGCATGGGCTTAAACACACAACACCACACACCTGTCACGTGTATGTTCCTGTTTGTCCTTATTTGGTAGTTCCTGTTTCCTGTTTTATTAAGTTCCATTAGTCTCAGCGGTGTTTTATTAATTATCCTTGATCACTCCTCACCTGTTTCTGTTCTCCCTGATTACGTTCCATGTGTTTATAAGCCCTGTGTTTTCCTCAGTTCCCTTGTCCTGTCTAACGTCGTTTAAGTGGTTGTGTCCTCCTGATTCTCCTAAGTGGATTTATTAAAGACTCTGTTTGTTTGATATCTGCCTCCTTCATGCTTCTCGCCCTGGCAACCCGTGACAGAAGACAGGACCAAGATAGTAAGGGGTGCCCCTTCTCCCCGTGTTTGTTTTTTGTTTTTCCCCCGTGGCATGGAAACTGCCCCAGGCTCTCTACAGTGTCAACTCCAGCCCCAGAGCTCGCTGTAGTGTCGGCGCGAGCCCCAGAGCTCGCTCCAGCATGCCTCTCAGCACTCATGGACATGGCGCTACCCCCAGAGTTCTCGGCTCCTATCCTCACCCCAGAATCCACTCCAGAAAGCTTTCCTTCGTCTCCGCTGGTCCCGTTCAGCTCTCCATCATCTCCTGAGTCTCCTTCGCCTCCGATGGTCCCATCCAGCCCTCCTACGTCTCCTGAGCCCCCTGTGTTAACCAACTCCGCTCCTCCAGAGTGCCCTCCAGAGCGCCCTCCAGTGCCCGCTACTCCTGAGTGTCCTCCAGAGCGCCCTCCAGTGCCCGCTCTTCTAGAGCGCCCTCCAGAATCCCTCCGGGCATCGTAAAGACCTAGTTTTCCCCAAGAAAAATGTTTTTTTTTGGGGGTGAGGGGGGGCATATATCCGTGGCCATAGTGGCCGAGCCGGGGGACCTGGAAAGGCCACGAAGGCACCTTCATGGCCTCCATAATGGCCGGCACCTGCATGGCCTCCCCGAATGGAAGGCACCTCCATGGCCCCCTGAACTGCCCGATCCGCCATGGGCTCCCGAGTCCCCTGATCCGCCATGGCTCCTTGGACTGCCTGATCCACTCTGGAGGCCTTCCCGTGTCTCTGTCTTGCACCAGCCTCCAGGGCGCCCCCCCCCGGTGGTATGTCACGTGTATGTTCCTGTTTGTCCTTATTTGGTAGTTCCTGTTTCCTGTTATATTAAGTTCCATTTGTCTCAGCTGTGTTTTATTAATTATCCTTGATTACTCCTCACCTGTTTCTGTTCTCCCTGATTACGTTCCATGTGTTTATAAGCCCTGTGCTTTCCTCAGTTCCCTTGTCCTGTCTAACGTCATTTAAGTGGTTGTGTTCTCTTGATTCTTCTAAGTGCATTTATTAAAGACTCTGTTTGTTTAATATCTGCCTCATTCGTGCTTCTCGCCCTGGCAACCTGTGACAACACCTTAAACAAATACATCATAAAGATTAAACTCAAGAGCACAATCTCCAGTCTGTCTGAAACTGACTCAACACTTTAGTAATACAATAATTCCCAATTAATTACAATTTTATATTAAAAAATAAAATCTCTTAAACACATTTTACTAGCTTTTTAAGCACTTGGTTTTTATCCAAAGCGACTTGCATTACAATTAAATTTGAAATTTTATCAGTCTATGCATTCTTTGGAAATCGAACTTATGACTTTGTCATTGTTAGCGCCATAGTGTACTGTGTGAGTTATAGGAATTATTTATTTTATTATTATTTTATTTATTTATTTTAAAATAAATTTTTACTCTGCAAGGATTCATTAAATTGATCAAAACTAACAAGAAATACATTTATAATGCTACAAAATGCTTCCATTCCAAACAAAATGTTTTCTATCCATCAAAGAATCCTGAAACAGCACAACTGTTTTCAACAGTAATTATAAGAAATGTTTCTTGAGCACCAATTAAGCATATTAGAATGATTTCTGAAAAATAAAATCACTGGAGATGATTTTTGAAAATAATTAAAGGGGTCATATGACGCGATTTAAATTTTTCCTTTCTCTTTGGAGTGTTACAAGCTCTTGGTGCATAAAGAAGATCTGTAAAGTTGCAAAGACTAAAGTCTCAAATCCAAAGAGATATTCTTTATAAAAGTTAAGAGTCAGCCACGCCTACCTAAAATGGCTTGTTCTAACACGCCCCCACATACCTACGTCACTATGTGGGAAGATTTGCATAACGCCGCCCAAATGTTCACGCAAAGAAAGAAGGCATAACTTTTATTCTTGCTGTAGTATTGTTGTTGCCGCCGCCATGTCGTGAAGGCACTGTGTGATTCGTTGTGAAAGCGAAACTACTTTGTTTGGCCTTCCAAAAGAGGACGATATCTGCTTCGTCATGCCTGGAGCTGATCCGTGCTGATTGCTGAGGAAATACTACAACTTTGCGCTGTGGATCGCCGGATCAGCTTTCACC